ACAACTGAGATGCCAATATGGGCTGCAGGGATTTGACCAGGGGCAGATCCACCTCCAGCCTTACCCAGGGGTCTGCTGGAAGGCCCCAGCTCCACAAGGGCCTCTGAGAAGACACTCACAGCAGGGCAGTTGGCTTCCACCAGCAACAGCAAGAGAGACAGCAGGAGACAGCAGTGGAAAGGATGTCAGCCTTGGTAAGCTAATCCTGGAACTGACAACTCATTGTCCTTTGTTTCATTTTTCTTTGTTGAAAGTGAATCCCAATTTGCACACCYGTGTTCACAGCAGCATTGTTCCCAGGAGCCAAAGGATGGAAGCAATCCAAGTAAGTGTTCATTTGTCAAGGAGCGGAGAAACAAAATGCAGTATGTCCACACAGTGGAGTAGTACTCAGCCTTAAAAAGGAAGGGAATGGTGACGTGGGCAATATGGATGAGCCTTGAGGACATAATGCTAAGTAAGCTGAGCTGGTTGCGAAGTGACAAACACCAGCTGATTCCACTAATATGAGATACTTAGCTAGGATTACCAAATTCATCACGACAGGAAGCAGAACGGTGGCTGCCAGGGCGGGGGAGAAGGGTCACGGGGAGTTGTTGTTTACTGGGTTCAGGGTTTCAGAGATGCAAAATGTCAGAAAGTTCTGGAGATGAGTTGCACAGCCATGTGAATGCACTCAACACCACTGGACTGTGTTATGGGAATCAATTCTATGTTATAGGTATTCTCTCTCTCTCTCTCTCTCTCTCTCTCTCTCTCTCTCTCACACACACACACACACACACACACACACACACACTCACACACACACTCACACACGCATGCACACACACAATGCAGATCCAGATCACATTCACAGGGATGGGGTTATACGGGGCATAGATATCAAGAGGTGGGGATCACTGGAAGCTGCTGCCACATTCAGGGACATTTTTAAGGCCACCTGAGTGGCACTCACACCCAACATGTGCATGACACCCCCTGCTGAATCTCAGGTGTGCACCTCCCAGGGAGAGTTCTGAAGCAACAGAAAAGCCAGAGTGAACCTGCTGCACAGGCACCGATTTCAAAATGTCTTGCAAACAGGGATCTTTCCAATCAAGGAAAAAGCCAGCCCCCCACCTCACCCCAGTGTTTTTTGGTGTCTAGTCCTTCCCACAGGAAGGCTAAGACCCAGTGCTGTACCTTCTCAGGCCCATCCCAGTTCCAAGTCCTTAGGGAGCACGTCGTTGGCTGTCAAGGCCAAAGATAAAGAGGGCAACAGAAGAGGGGCTCACTGTAGGGTGGAATTTCTCCCTTTTCACCCAAGTTAGAGAAAAGGCATTTCAAGCACCATATTTCCTTGTCTTGAGACCAGTTTTCTCCACCTCCTCAAAATAAATATTATAAAATGTAATTTTCTTTTCCCACATCAACTGAAAGCAAAGATGCATTTTTCAAGGGCTTAGAAGCCCACAGGAAGCAATTAGGACATATTTGGATTAAATGAGCTCCTGTGCAGCGTTCCGAGTGGGGAGTACCTGGTGTAGCGTAAGGTCTGACAGTTCCACGTGGCACAAGACTGTATTCTGTCCAAACCAGACGCCTCTGAGACTCTTCAGGAAAACAAGGCATGGAGTTTGGGTTCTCAAAAGCCCAGCATGGGTCAGATTTTCCCACAGTGCCCACGCTCCTTTGTTCAAGTAGCAAGAGTAGCAGGCAGCTTTGCATTCAGAGGCTACCATGTCCGCACAAAGCACAGCCTTAAATACTAGAGGCACACTCGGTGCATGGTGATGTATACACCATACGAGGGACGCAGAACTGCAGGCTGGCCCGGGGGCTGCAGACCCAAGACTGGTGTCTTGTGCTCACTGAGGGGCAGACTCCCACTGAAGGAACAGAAGAAGCTTCTACTCGATTGAAACAATGATCACAACATTATTATTTTAATAAGTTATGAATACTTTAACTCACATAACTTAGCGATGTCTGTGCTGTGGATTCCACAGTGTGCACATTAACAGGGTGAGGATAAGAGAAGTCTTTTCTATTCTTCGGCATTTACTGAACCCCTGGTGTGCAGGACACTATGCTACTAGATAAGTTCTGTAGAGTACAAGGTCACAGCCAGTGTCCCTGAGTAGCCAATGGTGATGCCTTCCACAGGGGCCACCTGGAGTGGAGGTTGGTATACTGGCTGCACCTAAGGACATTACCAAATGTCTAACTAAGGAGGGCACCAACCCAGAGCTTGTTATCTAAGGGGATGTCATTTGGATACAGAAGCACAAAGCTGAGACCCTAAGGAAGGAAGGTTGCTCGATGTTAAATATTTGTCAAGGGCTGGGCTTCCTAGGTACAAGTCCTAGGTACCATCAACTTTTTCTATGAACCTCATGTTTGTGAGAAGAAAAAAGAAGCAGAATTTAGAAAAAGTAATTTCCACGGACCTATGCAGAGACCAGTCATTCCCCCCAAAGGGAAGAGCAAAAGTCGGTCTCAGCAAAACACCTGGGTCAGGAGGATGTTGCCAAACCATGAGCACCCCTCACCTGCAGGCCCCTCACCTGCAGGCCCCTCACCTGCAGGCCCCTCACCTCCAGG